GTGTGCACTGCTCTTGAATTTCACTTCTCATGGTCTTGGTGGGAAATGTACTAAAAACTTGTTCTTTTTGGCATAAGCTCTAACCTCTACGCGTTGTAGTAGAGTGAACCTATGGAAATGTATAAAAAGAAAGGAGAAGAAGGGCTTTAACACCCCTTTTTTTGGCTAGCTCTTTCTTGCTCTTTGTAGTTAATTCTAGCATAGTAACCACAATTGAACCCGGTTCTTTTCTTGCTCCTCCGTTTAATCCTGATCGAAAGGGTTCATACCCCCCACAACCCCTTAGTCTGTTCTTACCCCTCTTATTAGCCCCTCTTGCAGGTGACAATCCCTTACTTGACAGTAAGGATTTGTATGATATATGAACTACGGAGTATTTCAGAGCCGAATGGAGTACGGTAGGACTCTTAAACAAAAATGGATTGGGTGTCACTAAAGGAAAAAAGAGAGAGAAGTGTTTAATGGTAGAGGTGTAGTGGTTGTAATGGTGTTGAAGTTGGGCAGCACAAAAAAGTTGGCATACATTTGTGGCTCTGTATAAAACAGTGAAGTTACAGATCTGATCCCATACATTCTCAAGCTCTTGCATTGTCTTTAGGAATAATCAATGATCACTTTTTTTCCTTCTCATGTAAGCTGCAGCAGCTGACTCAGTGCATGCTTCTGTATGGGTTCTGTTCTTTGGTTCCACTTTTTGAAAAAAAAAAAGAGAAAGAAAGAAAATCAAAGATGCATTTGATTTGGATGGATGGCTGTGATGGATTCTCATGTAACTGATCATTGTGAATGGACATTTCCTGAATTATTATTGAACTCCATTCCCTCACCTGTCCCCATCCCTACTACACCTATATAGAGAGTTCTAGACTATGGGCACTTTTTTTCTTCTTTCTTTTTTTTTAAAGATTCGTCAGTATATTTTCCTTTTTGATTCGTCCCAATTTATCGCTATACAGAAAGGATTGTGCGGTTTACAATATTTCTCTTTCTGTCAACGAAAGGGAAGAAATGCCCGTGTTTGTGGGCTTGAAAAAAGAAAAGACGAACCGTCTTTATGCTATGCATAATCGTCTTTCATCGCTGATGTTATGGGTCGAATATGAACGTTATTTTTTTTTTTGCACACATTCTTTGTCATCTAAGCTACGCCCCTGTGGCTTTGGTTTGGTGTTTTGTGGCATGAGGGGTTATATATGATTGAGGTGACAAGAATCATGGTTCTATTCTGGGAAAGCTGTTGGTTAACTTTTCATTTGCTTCTTCATTTTTGTTACACTTGTGATCATTCAAAAATTGGTGTACTACTACTAATACTAGCTAGCTAGCTAGCTCCTGCACAAACATTTTTGAGTGGAGGGAGGGGCACTAGCTGGCCAACTGGAGAGTAAAATAAATGATGTGCTATCAAACACTGCCATTATTTCTTTTTTTTTCCAATTTGAAATGGTAAATGTTGCATTGGCTATTTTTTTAAAAAAAGATGAAACCTGTTGTTAGACTGGATTAAAAGATAGATTGAGTTATAATCTTTATCTGATAAATAAAGAGCGAAATTTATTCCCGATACATGCAAGAGCTTTATGGTACGCAAAGAGTTGATCTCGAACATTATTTTGATGCACCCAAGCAACATCTTTTTAATACTTTTCTTTTTAAAATTAAATATCATAAAATAATTTGCATTTATTTTATTTTCAAGGAAGATTTAAAGTAACATTGCACTCCAATGTTGTAGTATGACCCAGGCTCTAATTGGAGTCCCCGTTCATAAAATTAATAATTCATATTCTCTTAACCATTTTGGTAAACGCGCCACCCCGGTCTGACTAGAATTCAACCCCTCCCTTCACCTCAAATTTAGTTGACTTTAGAGTTAAATTTTAACTCTAAATTCAACTAAATTTGTAGAGTGCAGTTGAAGGGGGTATAGGGTAAGTTCGGATCAGACAAAGGTTGAGAGATTTATAGGGAGGGTTAGAGAGTATGATCGGTCAATTTTTTTAACCGAACACCGTAAAAAATCTCACTCATCTCATGATATTGGTTTCCAATGTCATCAGAATAATTTCAATCCTTTTTTTGAGTAATGATCCTGTGTATGTGCTTCACCAGATTGTTCTAACATTTAAATAAATTTCAACAATACATTCTCTTCAATTTGGTGAAAAATCAATGGGTAATTTTTTTTTTGGGAGGAAAAGAGTACATAAATGGAGTACTATTCCATCAAAAATTGTACTCACAAAATGGAAAGGCATAGTAGTACACCGTAATTGGTAAGTGTTGGTAAAATGAGGACATTTTAATGCAATGCATAAATAGTTACTGCCATTCTGACTCATATTTTGCTTTTAAGGCAATTTGTGTGGCCATCCCTCTCGTGACCCCTTTCAAGTTGAGCTTCAACCCCAAGGCCAATTATTTCTTTGGATACTTTCATAAATAAATGAATAAAAAGCTCCGTCCCCGAGGGCCCCTTTAGACATAGTAGCAGTCAATTATATTTTGATCGCAGATTGATGACAAAGAGTGGAGCTTGCACCTAATACTTGCATAGACCCTATGCTTGGCATAATTGCCTCCCAGCGCAGTTGCCAGGAATCGAATTCGGGTCTTACCCCTTTGGCACTCTTTGCCTTTGCCAATTGCGCAATGCCCACCGACTCTTTGGGTACTTTCATGAATGTACCACTCCATATGACAAAAAAAACTACTTTGAATTCATATATATTAGGAAATATTAAAAAAAATTGAAAATATGCATTGATGTTGAATAGTAAAAACTGATCGATTACAATTTGTTTAGAAGAGAGAAAAATGATTTGGACAACATATTGTTTTTCAAAATAGAAAAGGCAAAAAAATAAAAAAAAAAAATTTGAGACGAAAAAAGTTGGATTTTTTTAGGACGTGAGAACACAAAATTTTATTTTATTAGTCACGGGGTACCATAGTTTGACAAAATATTGTGGCATGGGGAAGTAATGACCAATTTTATTTCAATAAAGCATACGACTCAACTACTTGAGCTAGAGACTTTAAATATTCTTATTTTTTAAAGCTGACTTTATATATTGGTTAAACTAATTTATTTGGCATTGTGACTGATTGGTTAGTGAATTAATTACACTTAAATTCACACGAAAGCTAGATTGACTAAGTTAATAATGATATGCCAACAAATTCAGTATAATACTACTTAATTAGTTAACCGTTTCATTTCCAAATGGTCAAAAAAAGTTTACTTTGAATCATGCAATGTACTAAACGGCTTAAAACAAAACAAAACACACTTATTCATTATTGATGATGATGATGATAGTATAAATTCACATTTTGTTTTGCTAAAAAATTACGAGTCTTTGGACTTTACATACTTTTATATTTGTGGTAAATTTCAATTTTTTTTAAAAAAAATATACTACAAGTAGTTTATATTACTCTTGTAATGTTTAAAGTGAACCATTTTAAAATATAAGCACGAGTAGTTACTTAAAAACAGATAAGTTGTCAAATTTAACTGGAAAAGTCAAACATGAAAATATCACTAAATTTCTTTGACAATAATTTCACCGTTTAAATAACTTTAGTTTTTTTTTTTTTGAAAAATTTTACTTGAGTTTACCACATACAGAGAATACAATTGTACTCTAAAAAAGCATAAAGTTGAAACAAAAAAAAAACTTCATTTGTCCCTCAAACAATTTCTTAATTAACTCTCTTTTTGACATGTCTCTAAGGTAATGTTTGGTTCTAGAAATGGAAGAAAATTTGTTATTCTTATTTTTAGTGTAATTTTTTCTCACATTCCACTTTTTTTTTTTTCTTTAGCCAAGTGAGAAATAAAAATTGTTTTTCAATTCATATCATTTTTTTTCTTTTCTTTTAGTCTTTCAAACTCCTTGAACAAAACAAAGTGTAAAGAATTTCTCGTTTTCTTCTTCTCTCCTCTCCTTAAATTACAGTTACACAATTTTTTAATTATTTTCTTGTAATAAAAGAAGCAAACAAATAACAAAGTTATGGGATTGCTTTAATTTTTGGGTGTCTTTATTATTATGTGAAAAAAAGGGTGGGAAGATTGCCTTATTAGTACGTTACTAATTTGCACTCGCCCAACTACTTCATACAATAATTATTAACTTCATTAAACTCAACATTATTATTATGCTATTTGAATACTTGAAACACAAACTATTAAACATAACAAAAATTCTTTTGGCCCATTTTTTTTATACAGGTTTTTCTTCTTTGAATACTATCATAAAAACATAGTGGAGGGTAAGGGTATGGTGATGATGAAGAAGAAGATGATGATGATGGGTGAGGTTAGGGTATGGATGGTGATGATGATGATGATGGTGGTGGTGGCATGTGCACAGCAGCAAGGAGGAGGAGGAGGAGTGGGAGGAGAGTATGGGCAGTTGAACAACATATACAGGTGCTGGGGAGGGTGCTACAACAAGTGTTTCCTCATCAACAACAACAACAACAAATACAACATAGGAGGAGTTGTTGGAAACCCATTCGATTCTTTCAAGTGTTATTTCAAGTGTTTGGGAGGTTGCTTCTCAGTTCCAACCACCAATTTCATCTCTTCTTGCCGCATGGCATGCTCCATGCAGTTCTGCACCTCCCAAGCCAATGGTATGTATGCATGTATGTGTATATATATGTATGTATGTATGTATTTAATAATGTACTCCTTCCGTCCCACGAAACCTTTATGGTTTTGACTGTTAAACGTTTTCAGGGGAATGTATTTTGGTGTTGGTTTTCCAAAAATGCCCTTGGATTTGATGAGTAAAAGTAGGATGTGATGGGTGAATCGATAGTGAAAAATTGTAATGTGATAAGTATGTTAAGAATTAGTAGGGGTAAAAGTGTATTTTTAATAGAAATGAGAGAGATTTTTCTAGGACAGATGAAAAATGGGAGGAGAAAGGTTTTGTGGGACGGAGTATATACTGAAGTCGAATGAACATTTTTCCTCTTGGTTGCAATTACTAATACGCGGAATAACATTTGTGTGTGGGACGTACGTACAGATGAAGCAAGATTGGGACAATGTGTGGGCAAGTGCGGCGACATGTGTGAGCAATCTAAATCTCTAAGGACAATGCAGCAGCAACCAAGAACCTAGCTAGTCTCTCTGCACTAGCATTTCTGGTGAAGTATATGTATGTACCATTTAAAAAAATTAAGCACACAAAATGCAAATGTGTGTTCTTAGAATTATTGTGGTGCAATTATGCATGGGATGCTCAAAATCTTAATTAATTTGTGTTGGAATTAAGTATTTGGTTTGTCCATTGTTTTTTTAAATTAAATTTTCACGTTATGGAATGTATGGCAGCTCGAGATCTTTTGGAAGTACCTAAAATTAAATTCATATGTAAGTTTGACTCGAAACGAATTATATCATACTAAACATAGAGTTAATTAAAACGACGTTTAAATTGCTGAATTATCATATCATAACTAAGTTAGTTTCCTGAGAACTGATTTGAAACCACACCATTGAATAAATGATGAGACAATATAGTACACAATCAAATGATGTTCTTCATCAAAGTTTGTATATATACATACATATATACATACAAACACAAGCATGTCACTGCTATATGTATACATATACCTTTCTCTAATAACTGAAGGGATTGGTTCTGGTTGAAGAGGAACGTGATGAAGCATCCGGTGTCATATATGGAATGCCACTGCTACTAGATTGATGAAGAGGGTTCAGCAACGCAAATGGCGATTCTCCGGTTTCAGATTTGTTGTGTTCTTGATACCCTCTGCAAATTTAATTTACACATTAGCTTTTTTGCTGGGAAGCGAACCCGTAGTCTCGCGCCATAGAATTTATTTAAAGAAATTAGACCAAAAAATGAATGACCCTAGCAAAAATCAAGTATAGGTAAGGTATTGGTCTTACCTCATTAACAAATTGTTGGGTAATTGGGGTCCAAGATATGCCCCTGCAACAAATAAAATAAGAGTAAAGAATGATGGCATGTTTTAATGAGGAAATAATGTGTCTAGCTATGTATGTATATATAGACACACATATGCACCTGGAGGTACAACCATTCCATAAGAAGTTGATGGAAGAGGCGGTGCCAATGCATATGGTGATGGTTGGGGATGTAGCGAAGGCAATACATTAGGCGTTCCTTGCGGCGGTAGCATGGAAGGAAGCTAATCAAATGAAAAATGACACATCATAAGGTTTGATACGCGATAGAATTCAAAATTAGGACAGAGTCGCTTAATTAACTTGTTAAGGTCAGACTACAATGAAAGATTGAATCCATTGATTGACGAGTCTAACCCAAGACCATATAAGCTTAACAGATATATATGTCTTTAATTATTTTGAATTGAGACATTGATCAATTGAATGCATGAGAAAATAAGAGTGGCAAATCCTAAACTTCTTCAAAAAAGTTGTGATGCTAAACTAACATAGGAATGTATTAATTGGAATGAATTGACATACCATTGGGGCGGGAACTTGAGGGCTTTCGTCACAAACATCAAACGGGTTTCTTGATTTTGCTGAGAGCATCATCTGTGACACAAGTTTCCAAAGTAAGAATTTCTGTTTTACTTTTTACTCATCTTTGTGATCTGACAAAAAAAATACTGAGTAATTAGGATCTGTCTTCACCCTTGCATGATGATGAGGATGATACTGCATTCCATATTCCATCCATCCAGGCGCTGCTGCCACAAAAGGTGAATAACTTGATGTGAAAAGTTCCTGTAAAAGCAAATGCAGTTTCAACAAAATTAGGGAGTTTTATAATATGTGTAAATTCTTTATGTGTGGTACTTCAACTATCTACAATAAGAGTTCAGTTCTTTTGACACTCGTTTTGGGTGTCATGATATGACTCTGGGGCACTATGGTGCTCCGTTAGATGCTGAAGTGGTTCCTACCTCCTACCTCCTAACACCCCAACCCCCCTTGCCTCCTGTTTTGCTGATATGCTACAATGTTCACCGTAGCATATTGGCAAAACATGGGGGTCTAGGAGGGAAAGAGGCGGGCTGATGGTGGGGTTTGTGTGGGTTAAAGAGGTAGAAACCACCTCGGGGTCCAATGGAACACCATAGGGCCCTCAAATGGCCGGTGTCATATTATGACACCTGTGGTGGGTGAGAAGAGAACCCCACTCCTAAAACAATATAAAGGACTTGATCCAATACCGCTGGCAGCTCATTTCTTCCACTATGTTTTTGATCATTTCCCGCGTTAGAATCCTGAGGAACATTATCTTGAGGAGCGGTTGTGGAATCAGCAGGAACTGGCGCTGGTGATGTCATATCTGTCGCTACTGTTGGCGAAGCAGCGGGAGACATTCCCAATAATAATAATGACTCCGTAGAATCAACATTAGTTGAAGCCTTTTCACTTGAGGAAGTTGAAGCTGGTGGTTGTTGTGTTGACTGAGTTGAAGCACTTGCTGGAGGTTGAAGATCATCTTCGAAATCGATCAAGTTTATAGGCTTTACAGAATCTGATGATTTAGTAGACTCTCCATTGTTCTGCAATAGGATTGTGGAAAATAAGAAATTTGTGAAGTTTTTTGTTATCCAATACAAAGACACACAAACTCACCTGAACATTTGCTTCCTTTGGTTCTGGAGGATCACCAACTTTCAGCTTAACAACTTGGTCACCCAAGATATCTTTAATGGGGCATACAACAGGATGGGTTGGTTCAGTACTCGCCCGATGAGAATCGGGTGATCTGCTCTGACGCTTTGAATCGGCTTTGGTAAACCGATAATGCTCATACCGTTTCACATTCCCAGACCCATCCTCTCGAAACCTATCATCAACAATTTCAAACCGGGCAGGACGGCTCTTCGGTTGGGTGTACCGGGGACTTCTGGTTTGGTCAATGCCATATCTCAAGTTTCTATCTTCAATCTTTCTAGCTGCATTATTGTGCTTTTCTAAATAGCACCTATCATTTAAGTCCTCTTTACTGCCTCGACTGGATCTATCGTGCCAACGCCTATCACCCAAACTACAACTCTCAAACGAATGGCGCTCTCCAAACACTTCCTTTCCACCAGGGATGGATCTTTCAAACGAACGCCGCTCATCATACAAATCTCTTGAACCCTTGAGCACAACAAAGCAATGGTTTAGTGCCCGTTTGGCCACAGTTTTAGCATTTTGAAAAGGTCATGTAACGACAATGTTTAGCTGTAGCGTCTTCAAAGTTAATATTTACTCCGTACAATTGAAAAATAATTAACTTTGAAGATACCAAACCCTTCTTGATATCTTCTATGATTAAGAACATTCTCAACAGAATCCCAAGTCTTAAATGCTTACAGATTTAGTTATGGGAGCCTTTTCTTGGCTCTTGTCGCCTGAAAATTTACGGTCCACGTAAACATGTTTGATGAAGTCCCTCAGTTTGTTAAGGTTGCTGCAATGAAAAAAAAGGCAAGTGGCAAATAGTTCCAACTTTAAACATTATAATTAATAAGACGATCTTAGCACTCGTATTCATCAGCTGATGTGGGATTACTCTTTACCTGCCATCCGGGCAAAAATTCCGACTAGGATCCCAAGTCTTGAAGTAAATTTGCCTTGCCCTCTATCAGTAAAACACAAGTTAATCGATTCAGAAGAAAATTAAACCAAAACGAAGGGAGAGGAGAAGGAAAACAATGGTAGCTTGGCAGTTCTAGTAGGAAAAGATTTCAGACCTCATTGCCACCAGCTTGAAGGCAACTAACTTCTTGGGCAGTAAACTTAGCCATTGACACCGATTTTACCCGGTGTGTGAATTCTCGACTAAAATCAAAACACAATCTCGATATCGATATGAAAATCTCATAAACAAATTAAACTATATGGAAATTAGGGTCTCATTACAATTTTTTTTAAAGAACTTACTGTATTCCGCTGCAATTCATGCATACGAATGTCCAGAAAGTTGTACAAACATACTGCGGTCCCTGCGGTGTGGAACCATAGAACAGCCATTAGTCAATCACTTCAGATTTTCTTGTGCTATAATTCTATAAATATAACAATCACCGCGTTCTGAGTATGACATAAGACACATAAGCCAAACCATTATTAACATAATAATTTCTATACAAAAATGCCGAGTTCCACACAGGAAATTGACGAGAGGTCTATGAGATTTTGCGTTGGATTTGCTAATTGATTGGATTGGAAGTCAAAGAATTTTCATGAAAAAGAGTAAATGTAAAAGGCATTACCGAACTGTTGCAGTTGATGCATCTCCGGTTATCTGGCAGCTTCAGGAGACCTCGAATGATCCTTTCGATTCTCTCTTCTTCCTTCATCTGGCTTGACATTTAAAATGTCCAATTTGAGTCCGCCTGAGCTCAAATTTTGATTTTTTTAAAAAACAAAATAAGGAAATATTTTAATTTCAGATGAATTTCAAAGGCCATTAACCATTTCTGGGCAACAAACAAGCATTGTTTTGGGAAAAAAATGATAATTTTTTCTTCAATAAACTGATAATGAAGCTTCATATAATCAACATTGTTGAGAAGATTAAAAAATCACGAAGCCAAGCGAAGAAAACTTACCTGAAAAAGGGGCCAATTTTGGTGAATGGGGAAAAATTATGGCAGAATGGAAATGGTGGGATTTGCAGAAGTTTTGTTTAGTCAATTTGATGGGGAAAATTAATTTTGGGAAATTAAGGGTTTGCTAAGCACAGAGAGAGGCCACGAGGAAATTTTGGCAGTTTTAACGGTTGGCTCAGCGCCTTGGGCTCCATTTTTTTTTAAATGAACCCCAACTCCAATTCTTTAAACCCGACTAAACGGTCACTGAGAAAAGATAAACTGTGCAATGCATGCCGACTCAGACTCTATTTAAAAAGTTTTGAGTGAGGTTCTTTTACTTATCAAGTATCACCGGTAAATGTCATAACAAAATATAATGTTGAGGATAATATAATTAACCCATGCAATGGCTCTTAGTTACAATACATGTTACAATTACGAATAGTTTCAAAACGTGTTTTTTTAAGAGTATGACTAGAATGGTTGGTTGAACAAAAAATTACATTGTAGCCTTTGTAGAAGAATATTTGCTTGAAATGTAGGCCATAAAGTATTATAAAACACTAAGGGAATCGAAAATAAAATTTAAAATGTGCCGCTATTTAGAGAAGTCTTTCATATTTAAATTTTTACCACATGTTTTCAAATTTTAAAATGTGCCGATATTTGTAGAGAAATCTTTCATATTTAAGTTTTTACCTCATGTTTCAAAAGCAAATTAGAACATTTGGACAAATTTCTTTAGTTGTTTCATCCGTTTAAAAAATTGATTCAAAAATTGTGATGGAATTCTTACGATCCAAACTTTTTAATCAATAATTTCAGACCTAAAGTTTTACTTTTTAACATGCAATCTATATGGGGAAGATTGGATGTAGGATTTGGTTCCGAGCCATATGGGACAACCTCCTAAGGGCAAAGACAGTAGCGAGGCATAGCCTCCCACGCCTTGCCACCTTAGCAGGTTTTCATCCAATGCCTCGCATGGCATCACCGCTCCTCTACGGTTTGAGAGCCATCTCTGAGGCAACTCATTCCCAATTTTATATTTTTATTATTTTTTTTAAAATTTTTTGTATAAGAATGAAGTTTTTTTAAGAAATACATCTATTTTTATGAAAAAATAGATAAAAAAAAATTTTAATAATTAAAATACGTCAAAAAGTGTAAAAAGTGACAAAAAATGGACTTGTCACTGCATGCAATGTCACTCCACTCGCCACGCACTGACAAGATTATTTTTTTATCGTTTCAGGTGTTTCCTATCACCGTTTGGGATTTCATTTTTACATCATCATTGCACGTGCTCTAAGGGTTTAGTTCCTATCGAAGAACCCTTCTTTGAGATCCCGCACTTATAAGCCTTGGGCAGGTCAAAATAAGAACAAAAAAAAATCAGTTGAGAACATCAGCAACTAACAATGTAAGATACACCGGACAACATGAAAAAATGGCTTTTTAAAGCTAGATCTATACCAATTGCGATGAACATTTAACCAGAAATTTACTTACACAAGATATATTTTCATTTCTTCCCTACTCAATGTGCTCTCAACAATACAAAAAAAAAGATCTACTTCAATGCCCTATCTAAAATCAACCTCATCATATATAGCTTCCAGAATTGTTATTATTTTTTTGTTCAATACTCCATATTATTTGGGGCAGGCCGGGTTAACCCGAGAGCTAAAGAGACCACCATAAAAAACCAAAAAGAGGAGAGCAACATCGTTATGTACAAACGAGGGACAAAACGAAATCCCGACCCGCCAGGTCAGCGATCAAACCAGCCGTGCAGCACTGTGGCAAACTGGAAATGAACGAACCCCGGGGAAAAAGGATGGTAGATTTCTGTGTAGAAAAGCTCTCTTGGTAACCACAGTGACTGCTCTGCTCCGGCCATCATGTCAGAAATCTACATTCTAATTTTATAGACAAAGGATGGAATTGAATCAAAATCCGTTTCTGTGAGAACCTGTGTATAGCCAAACGCGGCATAAGGTCCGGGATCTTTTTTTAAAAGCCCCCAAAAAGAATCACATATTATCATTGGCGATGATTCTGATCAGTGGCAGAAGCTTTCATTGCATCCACGTTCATGAGAGCTACCACGGCTTTCTGGATTGCCATGTCAGCCGTATACATTAACCTCTTCGCCTTTTCGCGCTTTTGTTTTGCCACCGTGCAGGCATGTTTGGCTGCACTGGATGCATCGCGGAGCCTCAACTCCTGAACATTTGGCATATCAAAATGTTGATCGAGCTTCGGGCTTGACCAATCAGACGAATGAAAACCGTTCCTCTTTGTGATTCTCCGGTCATGAGAAGAAACCAGATGTGGGCTGCCAGGTGGCAAGATCGTCCCAATCCTCTTCGATTTATTTCTCTGGAGCTTTGGGTGATGGTTCCACTCATAGCCCTCATTGTTCAAAGAGAAATCTCCACTGGCATCGCGTGGAGAAAAGGCACTTCTTGAAGCATGACAAGTTGGAGAAGAAGCAATATCCAAGAGTTCATGGTTGTTTCCAGTATACACAATCATCTCATCTCCAAGTGCATATCCATTCATTCTCCTCCCTGGCCAGAAATGATCAGAAACATTCAGGGTAAGTTTGGATGAAGAAAAAAACTAGGGAAATGAAAAATAGATACCCCATGGAAAGTTATTTTCTTGGGGTCTGTGGCATAGTGTGAACAAATACAAAATATGATTTTTAATCATATACTCCGTAGTCCGTATTAAGAATTTTTTTCTTAGTCTTCATATAGTAGAACTAAGTAAAACAGTTTTGAACATCTGAAATAAATTAAATCAACATATCCTTTATTTTACTCCAAATTTCCTTATCATCTATTTTCTGCCTATTTTATTTCTTAATTATTTTTTAGGCTCCAAACAAACCCTTTGGAGCTGTTTAAAAGAATTTTTGAGGGGGTTTGTAGGGGAAGCCTTTGGTCAATATCATGATATATACTAACTATACTCCATTAATAAATAAATTTGAGACTTGTAAAAATTGACAGGCTAAAAAAGAGTGAGAAACACTATACTCCGTATTTATCATGATATAGCTCAAGCCCATCATCTAAACAGGCTATTAACAAAAGCCAGTAAGAGACAGACCAAAACAAGGGTTTGGCATGGAGGCAAAAGATGGACATGCATCTGCTGGAGACAAAACGACAGAGAAGAAATAGGCAGAAAGAAATATACCAAAAGCATGGATACCATCTTGATCCCTGAAAGAAGTATGATTATGTCCAGCGATTGACATTCTCTTCTGAGAACGCTGTTTTGAACCACGGTTAGGATTTTCCAAACCCCGAGGCTTCAAACAGAAGGCAAACATTGGTGGTTTCTCAATGAGAGGTGTTTTCCCGTGATTTGCAGCCACAGCCTTGGAAACCTCTTGCTCCCAATCTTTTACTTGTTGCTGATACATTTCCCATAAAGGGCGCTGATAAAAAAAATAGGATAAGAATTCTTGATGAGAAAGTGCTATCCTCATGTAGTCTTAAATGTTGAACAACAGACACAAGAAAAACAAATGAAGCCTGACAATTATCAGAAGCGAAAAGAGGGTGTAATTGTGTGATCATGGCATTTGAATAAATATCTAAAATTGATATGTTGAGTTTGAATCAACCTTTTTTTAAACATTTCCCTCATATTTTCTTCAAAACATCCTATCAATTTTCCTCCCTGTTTCCCTAGTATTTTTCAAGTTCCAGGGTCCCAAAAGTTATGATTTACCCAAATTCCAAAACAAAATCAGATACATTAATTATATGAAATAGGGTCATCATTTTCTATGACAACCTGTGAGAATCAACAAAATTCAGCTAAAAGTCAAAAAACAACCAAATAGATACCCAATATCATTCGAATGAACAGTGTGACAAAGAAGAAAGGATTGTAATATCCATGCAGCACTAAATGGAAATACCCTACACAATGTTACAAGCAAATTATTATGCCTGGTATATCTTAAGTTTTATTCCAATACATTAACCTGATGAAAGATAAGCTGATAGCATACACACTTTAAATGGAAACCCCTACTATAAGACAAATGACCAAAGTTCATTAAAAAGGTGGAAACAATAGTAATTGTCAAGCAGCGATTGACTCCTGAGTCCTGACAATTACAAGCCACTTCACAAACCATGACTGATGCATATTGCTTTCTAGTTGAAGAGATTATAAGACACTAAGAACCTTACAGACATAACCACAATAAATGAGAATCCAAAAAAGAGTAGATGTGGAGGTCAACAAGTATAGCAAGCAGGTCAGTAGCACATTGGAGCATAACCCAGACATCGCGATAAGACTTTTTGCAAACAGTGATATCTATAGCACTTGGAATCTACAGAAGAAAATACAATGGCAGCTCATGCTAATCATGCAGCATCAATCATGCAGAAAAGATAACAAAATAAGAGCTTAGCCATCCCCATCTTACCTGGAAATGACGCAATAAAGGCATGCCATTTTTCTTCCTTTTAAGCTTCCAGTGTTCATAAACAGATTTCACCACTTCCATAAAACCTATCCCAGCCATCAATTCTTCTAACTCATCAGATGTAAAGTTCTCACGCTGTTCTGCATAAGACACTTTTTCAAACATGTTCATTGTCTTTTCAAATAACTCATCTGATATCTCATTATATCCACCAGAGTGTGAGAGGCTTTGGTTGGATGAGAGCCAACTTTCATCCTCACTATCCATATCATACAGGATTCGTGAAGTATTCATCGCCATGTCAACATCATTCTCAACCTGATGGAAGTAATCAGGACAACTGCGAGCAAAGGGAATGCACGCAGCATCATCTTCCATTTCTTCAATCAACCGAACACCAGGAATTGGGATATTCTTAACCAAAGCAGCACGGATATTACGATTGTGGCATTCTTCATGCATCTCCTTGAACAGCATCCACTGGCTCCTGTCAGGAAACTCCAAAACCCAATCCTTTCCCCCTTTCCACATCATAGCATGAGTGAAGCGGTTGGTTGACCCAGGTTGCAAGATATTGCGAACTGTGCATGAATATTTTGTGGAACCAGAAAATTTAATAGAAAGCCTCCATTCATTGTGATCTGCAACTTCTAAGACCACACGCGCATCATTTTCCCTCCATCCTTTGTCCCCAACAGTAACTAACACATTTGCATTGCATGCCAAAAACTCAATGTTTCTTTGAGAGCTCCTACCACCATCAAAAATCTTCTTCTCACTAGCTCTCCTAATCCGTTTACAATGAAGATTCTTTTGTCCTTGGTTTTTGTGTCTTGATCCAAAATCATTACTTCCAGAGGGCAACGTGTAATGGACCTGAGTTCTTGGTTTCTTAGGGCCATTAACAAATCCATTGTGCATGAAGCTCATCTTCACATCCGACCACACAGGTGAAAGTTCTCCCACAGGTGAAGAAAGTGAAATGTTTTGGTTCTGATGAATTAAATTGCATGAAGCACTTGGACCATTTTGATTGGGGCTCTGGGGAATGACAGAAAAATGTTCCCTTCCGTTAAAAGGAAGATCAACTTGATCCAGTGAAGGGATTGCATTATTAACATGGTCTAGAGCAGGTTGTGGAGATGCAGCAACTGGGTATGACTGTTCATCACCAGTACAAAATTGCAGTTGAGACAGAACCAAATTAGAAGCGTTCTTCTCTGACCCTTCAATGTATGCGGAAGCATTATTCACCAACCCTTTTATGTGTGTGGAAGCACTCTTTTCCAACCCTACAAATTCAGTGGGAGCATTCTTCTCCAAACTTTCAATGTCAGCGAGAGCAATCTTCTCCAGCCCTTCAATGTCGGTAGGAGCATTCTTCTCCAACCTTTCAATGTCAGTGGAAGCATCCTTCTCCAACACTTCAATGTCAATGGGAGCATTGTTCTCCAGTCCTTCAAAATCAGTGGAAGTAGCTAAAGGGACCAAGGGTTCCATATTATTTTTGAAGGTTGCTTCTGGAACATTGCCATATAACTTCCCTTGACTGGTATCATGTATAACATGCTGGCCAGTTGTTCCATGGCATGCAAGGTTACGTTCCATGAGCAACTGTAGATGCAGACTCAAGAACTGAGCAGGTGCAGCAGAATATGGAGAAGAAAGTGGAATAACTTGTCCAAATTTTGAATCAGAGCTAGGTGGATGGCTATTTCTGATAATGTGGGATTCTTTCGCGATGCCCATGGCCAAACTACACAGCACAGGCTTCTTTTGCGAACTCTATAATACATATCCAAAAGAAACATCATTGGATACACTGAATATTAAAACTGCCCAATGGATTTATCAAATTATGCTTCAAGTGAAGAGGCACCAAAGTGTATCGAAACTTGAGAAAAAAGTGATTATATTAAACAATGTGTTGGAGGTAGAGAGAGAGAGAGAGAGAGAGATTCAGAATAAAATTTAAGACTAACAAATGGGAAAAATACCTGATGATTATGTGCTGAAAACTGATTGCTTGGATGTTCAAGGGATTTGATGTTATCATATGTGCATTCAGAGAGAGGCAGATCCTTAGCAAGAAAACTATGATGCCGTAGCTTGGAGTCAAGATATATCCACTTTGAGCTTTCTAGTTTAGAAAAGCCATAAAATACAAATGCTTTCTGCTTATTCATATCTTGAACTCTAGAGAGTTTAAATTGTACAGAAGTAACCGGCAACCAAGTATCTTCAAACTCCAAGTGTTCATCAGGTTTACTAAAAAATGACATAACAATGAATGCAAGAACCATAGCATCCTTTAGGCAACACTCAAACAAAAGAAACCTCAGTCCAACAGTATTATCAACAAAAAGAATCTCTAAGATAACCTCTGGCCATTTTGTCACAATGGCACCATGTTGCAGCAACAAAACTATACGAGACAGCCAGATGTATTCTGCATCATGCTGAATACAAGATAAAGCTGGTAGGTGTATGTCATAGGTGAAGTGTCTGGACTCTATAAATGGCAAGCATAAGCTTAGGAGGCCTTCATCATCAATAGACCACAGCATAGCATCATTTTGTGAGCCCGGGAAGGTATTCACTTCAGATTTCAGAGTCAACTTGTTCACAGAGGAAGTAGCTAGTGCCATCTTTTCACATGTCGTGCCATCTTCGGTGAAAGATTGTCCTTCAACTTTCTTCCGAAAACGCCTTCTCATATAAACAATTGTTATTTTGTTCTCTGAGACACTACCACTTCCAGAGGAAGACTTCCCAGCCTTTCCCGCATCAGTTTTTATATCCAAGGAGCCTAAAATGTCTTTTGTATCATCATGTTGGTCATGTGATGGCAATGACAAAATAGAGGAAGACTGCTCTGATATTTTCTGTTTCTTCAAAGGCCTGGAAGAAGATTTAAATCGATGAGACAACCAAGAGATAATGGGCTCAGACTCCAAATAGCTCCCTGAATGGCTGTCTCCATCAACATCCAAATCTGTTTTGTCTTTGCATACAGTTCTACTTCCCTTTGCAGATCTTCTGGACTTATCCTTTCCAGGAACTTCGCTTGGGAAAAGCAAGAGCTTGAACCTTTCACCTTCAAGATTGATCCATACTTCATCTCGACCATCATACTTGACTTGATGGAGTCTCTTTTCTGGATCATAGTCCTTGAGCAAGCCACAACACCAAGTCTCATCTAATGGGAAAAATACTTGGATTCTTTTATTCAATACCTCATACGCATCTAAGTCCTTCAGATGAACTTCGTAGAAATGACGGCGCTTTCGTGGGACACTCTTCTCTTTATGATCTTTTTCCATTGGTGGTACTCCGGCTGCAGCCTCTGAGCTGGCTAGAGAGTTAGCATCCTGACTAGTAAGATCATTAGAAGAGATGAGTGAGGACACCTGGTTGGCAAATGACAACGCAGAAGATTTTCTTCTTGAAGAAAAACCTGTGCAGCGTGGATCAAATCGAGAAGAGAGCATCCTGGCAGCATTTTGCTCGAGGTTTTCTTCATCGTCATCATCTTGAAAATCATCACAGCAATGAGTTGTATTAGCCACTGGAGATTTAACATCCTTTACAGAATCCAAGGCTCGGGATTGCAGATTTTTTTCCTTCCTATGAACTCTTCGCCGCTTTTTTGAAGATGCATCAGCATTTTTTATAATACAATGTTCATCTTCTGCCATAGTGTGTTTAGCTGAAGTAACCTTGATATTCTTATTCCCCTTGGATACATTTACAGCCACCGTCCGCTTATACTTGCCATTTACAGCACCGCCTGCAGAAACTTTACCCATATAAATGATCTGATCAGCAGCACTGGTTTCATTTCCTGATAAGCTTGGTGTCTTCTGTAGGCGAGCATTCTTACGCTTGTTAGATTCATCAGCGCCCACCTTCGGCTTTAACTTCTCACCAACAGCAATCCCTACAAAAGGTTTACCCAACTTAGCCATACCCTCATCAGCACTGGGTTCATTTACTGATAAGCTCGACTTCTTTGGCATGTGAGCATTCTTATGCCCTTTAGGTTTGTTAACACCCACCTTCGGCTTGAATTTCTCACTAGCAGCATTGCCTGCAAAATGTTTACAAAACTTGTCCATATCATCATCAGCAATGGATTCATTTACTGGTAAGCCTGGCTTCTTTGGAAGACGGGCATTCTTACGTCCCTTGGACTCATTAACACCAACTTTCTGCTTTGGTTTGTTACAAACAACATTTCCTACGCCTAAAGAAGCTTTACCTGACTTAGACAACCGGTCAACAACACTAGCTTCACTTCGTGATCCCTTCTTTGGCAGATGAACATCCTCTGACGTATCCACTTCATCATGTAAATTTCTTATGCAATCAGCAGAACCCTGCAACCTCAACGATAGAGAAGCTGTCTGGTTTTTAGAGTTCTTGTGGACGAAAATGTTGCGTGGGCGCTTGGGAACCCTAACCGGATCACCGTTCTCACTCAACAAGCAATAAGGAAGCCCATTCCATCTGTCACCAGATCCTGCATTTGATTGCTGCGCCTCAAACCCGCTAGCTTCTTCCACGTCCACTCTGCTGCTACTCTTATCTACCTGATCCAACCTAGCGGAGCACACCTCCTTTGTGCCTTTCTGCTTCCTCTTTCGCCGAACCCCATTTCTATCTTCCTCCTCTTTATGTTTCCCTTTACTATCACTCCTTCCCCTGTTACCAGCCTCAGTCTGATACAATGTCTGGAGATCCAATGACCTTTTTTTCTTCAAATTCACCAATCCTCCCAACTTCTCCGCACTCATTTGTCTCCAACAGAAATCACTCAAACCGCATGCAAATTTTCACACACCATCATGCACATTCAACTCCCATTGCTTGAGATCTGAAACCACAAGGCCATGGCTTTAAATTTCAAATTCAACAGAACTAAGCAGTGATTCAGGTTAAGAAAAACGCAAAAAAAAAAACAGACAATGATCCATGTATCGAAAATCAACTGAAAAAAAACCCAATTCGGAGAAATTAAAGAGAGAATCGAACAATCCACGCACCTTGCATCGCAAATGTCGAAGTGGGGGAGACCAATTTTGGCGTTCGGATCGGAGAGTTGGGGATGGAATGTGAGAGTAGGTTTGATTTGGAACCCTAATTTGATGCCCTGATTTTTTTTATTATTTGATTCTCTTTTTTTTTTCTTTTTTGGGCATTTTACAGCTAGGGTTTGTTTTGCTTCTTCACTTTAACTCCAGAGTAACTTGAGAGCCACGTGGAAGGACATCATCTCTCGGATGTGGTTCGAGGTAAAAACAATGGACGGCTGGGATTGGATTATCGGAGTCTCGATAATTCACAGATAACGGAAATTTTATTTATTTATGAGGAAAAAGAAAAGGCTTGAAATTAGACTTTCGGGTTTTCGATTCTACAGCTGGGCCTGGAGTTGATGATATTTGCGGGGGGAACCAGCGGTGGGGAAGATGCAGTGTGGGTGACGCGCACGGAGCTGCGATGGTGACGCACCTAAGCTGCGCTGAGCATCTTCCACGTGTACCCCTGTAGGGTTGTCGCCGACCGGTGACCCGAAACACTTGTCCGCTACGTCCAGAAGCGCGCCATTTGACTTCCTTTTAATTTAAACTTGTTTTTTTGACCTCCCTTTATCATTCAACTCTAAAAGGTTCTTCTAAATTACTTAAAATTATAAACTTAATGCAGATTATGATATTTGATTGAATATTTTCAGTTTAATTTATATAAAAAAAATAAGAAAAATTTTAAAAACAAAATTTATATATTAATAAAAAAAGAAATGAAATTTAAAAAATTGATTAATTGAGCTCTGATTTAAAATAGTAAATATGTAAATTAATAGAAAACAGAGAGAAGAAATATGTAATAAGTACATAAAAGTTTTACAAAATAAAATGTAACATTACTATTATTTTATAAATAAGTACAGTAACAAAAATAAGCAAATAAAAATAATAATTTTGACCGTAAACTGAAAATAATAACTATTAGATCTTTTTTAGGACGGAGAGAATATATACAATGCATTTTCCTATACCATATACTCCCGTTGTTTCAAAACATCCGTCCCGTATGACATAAATAGTCAAATTGAACGAATTTTAATCTCTAATTACATTAAAAATATATTACTCCATATTAATACAAAAATAATTATATACTCCATATATAGGGAGGGTGTGTGTGTATAGGGAGGGAGAGAGAAAGAATTCACACCAAAGAGTTTGGTTATACTCTACACGTTTCAAATTACGTGTAAAATATGTTTCCTCTTAAAATCATTTTATTTACAAATTGATAGAGAAATAAAAGGTAAAAATTACAACATTCGAAAGAACATGAAAAGTTTTACAAAACAAGACCGGTCAACCAAAACGAGTAAACAAACAAAAGTTATCGAGAGACCGAAATAGTAACTGTTGCATTTTTTAGGGACGGGGGAGTACAAGAAAGGTACATACAAAACAGCAAGTAGTAGCAATTTTATGGCACATGGAAACCAATGAAACAGACTCTCTCCTAAATACAAAGCCCGAGGGTCAATTTATAGTACCATCACTTAACCCACTTTTTAAATGTTTTTCTCATTGTTGCCATGCACAAAGATTGATAGAACCAGAACTTGATTACAACTGAATTTTCTTTTAGAAGATTGAGGGATGAACAGAACAGAACAAAATTGACAGCCCTTCGTGACGAGTTTAGAGCTGCTCACAATACAAAGAAACAATCTTTTTACGCGTCCGTACAGTGCAATTGTTCATACACACACAGAATCTGTTCATTCCAAGAACAGTTGCTGAAGAAGAATCTGTTTATTCCGAGAACAGTGAGTGAAGCAGTTCTTGAGATGCCAGAGTTGCCACGCACTTGAACTGCGTCAAGCCATAATAAGAACTTGTTAATCATACGTGCAAATAGAATCCCACAAAAATAGGGTTTGGGAAGAGCGCGTTTGTATGCAGATCTTACCCCTAATTGGTGGTCAATGTTAGTTATACTTGCGAATAAAGAAGAAGATTTTCAAGTGGCATTCGTGTACCTTTGGTTGCTTGTACTTGTCACATACGGCTTTAAGGTTGCATTGGTTGGAATTCAATTGTAAAATCTGGAGAGCAAAAACGGGTGCTTTCAGCTCGGATGCCTTGTACCTCGTGTAATGTTCCAACGTTGGATTCTGCAAGAGAGAAAAATGGGTCATCTTTAGTGGTTATATTCACTCAATTGTAAAGCTAACGACAACAAAAGCAGGATCAAGAAGCAGAAAGAATGGGGACCCATGGGTGTTGAGAGTGGTTGAGGGTCCATTGAGCTAGAAACACAGCCGAAGCAGCAATGATAGAAGGAAGATATGCAAGGAAGCCATAGTCAACGAGAGTTAACTCCGCCAAATAATTTGCCAAGAACTCCAGCTCAACAGATGGAACCTGCAATTTACAGTTTGGTTTGCTAGATTTTGGTATAGAGGGAGAAAATAACTTCATTTTTTGTCGTTTGGATGACGAGAAACTCGCATGGGGAGAGAAAAGTTGTCGTGTGCTACCCACAGTTCCTTTACAAGCGATTTATACATATTTTTCTAACAAAACCCACTTTCCAAACAGGTTAAGAAATAATCCATTTTCCACTTATTTTTTCATCTCCTACTTTTTCCTTCCCCTATGAACAAAAGAAGGCAATAGATCGCGCTATATTTACTACCTCATATGAAGCTTGTGCTGCTTGAATGAATCGCCTGCTCCAAGATGGAATTTAGCATTGATCAGAACTGAGCTAATGTGTTGTTCGGTAGACCATAATATAGTTGCACCATTGATGTACTTAGTTAAACTAACTAAAATTGGAAAAAAAATGTGCCTTGGGCAAACATGATCTGTTTTATTGGGAATCAAGAATGTGGGCATAAGATAGGACAAGTACCTGAGGATTTTCTTGGTGGTAGGAACACCAAGTCGAAAACCTAACAAGTTCAAAACTTGAGTTTCCATTTTCACAACATCTTCCTTCGTGTACGTGTTGTCAGTGACAATGCAAAACTCTTCCACACGAGGTGCACAAATTTCTTCATACTTGCTTCAATAATTAATGGGGAGGACACCCCAATAAAAACATCTTTTAGTAATACGCAGGAAGCTAAAAGCGAAATGCAGCACGTCTCAATTAAGGTATGAATGTAAAATGAAAACACAAGTTCACAATATCCATGAAAATAGAAAACAGTCTTTTAGTATGGAGTATAATGGATAGCAGTTGCAAGCAAGATAAAGAAGTTACCAAGCAATTAGCATGCATGTCACACCAAGCAGCTGGAGTCTTTGTTTCTCAATGTAATTTTCCGAGAGAAAACGATCAATAAGATTCACGGTCAGATACAGTGTATCTGGAACTAGCCTATATTCTTCAGAAACCTGAAAGAACAGGCAAAGTAATGCCAACATGTAACAATAAAATATACATCAGCCTTGTATGATTAATAGAGAAAACAACCATCAGTCTTATGAAGTTTATGGTGGAATATGGCAAATTAATGTTCTCACGATATTGAGGTCTCTTGGAAACAACCTCTCTACTCCCAAGTATGGGTAAGGTTTGCATACACTCACCCCCCCCCCCTCCCAAGACCCTACATTTTATAAGATTCCAGTGATTCTTTTTGTTGTCATAATGTTCTCATGATATTTTAAAGTGACTGTCATTGGAGGACTGGGTGAGAGACCCCAAAAGGTAGAATAAATATGGCGTAACAAATAATAATGCTGTAGAAAGAAAGGTTCTATTTCTCTAGAAATTAGAAGGGAGAACTCATCAAGACAATGTCTAAACAGGTACACCTAACTAACCTCAACAAGCCAATCGACCAGTATGCCTCGCATGCCCATGGTAATGTCTCGTTGCAGCCTTTCCATGAAATCGGATGAAGGCCTGCAGTCAAGCTGGTTTGGAGAGAAGAAGAAGCAAGTGAAAAGAGATTCACAGATTTCACATATAACAGAGCAAAACAATTAGCATTGTATTTGACTATTCGGTATTGTTAAGGTTGAAATACAATGAGTTGGTGATAAATGAACATTTCTCTAATGTAAAATGAAATTAGATCTCATTACAGACCTCCATAGCATGCAGGTGGGTGTATATATCAGGGGCATACACACTGCACATTTGTGGGTCCCTGTGCTTTGAATCTATGTCTAAAATCCCTAGACTGTCCAAACCTTCTGTTTTGCAGAAACCTTTGTTTTCATCTACAGGAAACAATAGAGCCAGAATTACACCCTTTCAATAAATGACACATGGAAAAAGGAAACTAATCTTTTTAGGCTCCCACTAGGCAGCAGAGTTGAGCCTAGAACCTAGGTGGAGATTTTTACAAGAGGCATACGAAATAACTTCTGGAGTACCTCTTTCTGATGCGCTCTCGTGTGAAACCGTTGCTGAGGTACACTTGTACATAAGCATTCGATCTGCTTCACCACATTGCCTCACTGCATGACTCTTGCCTTGCTGATTTAACACTCTCTTAGTGGAGTTTGTAGGTGAACGGATTTCTGTGTTTGCTTCATTGTGTTCTTGGATTACATTGTGTTCCCTATTCACTTGAAGATGTGGCCGTTTATTAACTAAGATACCAGGAGTCACCTTAGCAGATCTCTTTGCTGGGTTTTTCTTATTCTATCACAGCAGAGAACCAGAGACATTCAAAATCACATACGACTCACTAGTGAGAAAATATTCAATTTGATATCAAAATGACTCAAAATACATTGAGAATATCAATGCCCTGAGCCCGCATATGATATATTTCATTAAGAACAAATTGATTGGTTTAATCTATAATGTAACAAGAATTAAACATGGTTTGGAAGCCAAACACTTTTCATTACAGAAAATTTAGCATATTTTAAGCATTTCATATATCAACTAAATAACTTTTACCAAACACACTCTTACCTTCCAAAAAAACATTACCTGGATTTTAGTTTCCCGCATGCAGTTAAAGGATGAACTTCCACAGACTACATTTGTGACATCCTCAAGAACAGCTCTTTTCTTTGGCTGACCAGTATCCTGTTGCTTCTCA